CTATTCTGCCGCTGAGTTTAGCTTTTCTTTTTTCCCCCCGAATGCGCTAGTTTTCAGGCACTGGGGACACAGCAAAACCAACCGAGGGTGACAGGTCCCACGGGAGCAGCCATGGGGACATCCCAGCATGCATGGGCTAGCAGGGAAGGGGAACAGCAAGCTGGGGCCAGGGTGCAGATATGACTCCATGAAACAGTTATTGCAAATTAATTATTCAGTGCTAGCAACTCCCACCACTCACCCTGCACCTCCTATATTCCTCCCATCCCTATTTTCAGCAGATCCCTGTGGCTTTGCGAGTCATTGCAAAGCCCGGGGGGAGCAAGCGTGGTCCATGACACGTCCCTGCCCTCGTGAGTCACCACCGTGACCAGCACCTGAGTCACGGGCAGCAAGGGAAGTCCCATGGCCTGGGGACTTTTCCAGACAGAGCTGAGTAAAAGGGAAAGTGTCAAGGAATTTGGTTGGGGCTAATGTTTTCCTGGAGCCCCGACAAGGCTTTGCCTCCCCTTTGCCACAGTGAACTCGTGTCTCCGGCAGCGAGCTAAGCCCCAGGGAGCCACACGCACGGGGCACATACATAGGCACGCATGGGGCATGTAGGTGCACGTGCCCAGGCATGCATGCAGCGAGGCAGAGCCAAAGCTTCCCCATGCTCCTGCCCAAAGGCAGCCGGAAAGAGGAATAAAAACATCCCTCATGGAAGCAAAAGCACCTGGAGGCTCTTTAGGCAACAACCACCCCGTCTCTGGGGTTCCTCGCATTGCACATCCTGTGGTCCCTGGCAGGGCAGGGTCCCCCTCTCCTTGCACCGTGTCCCCTGTGGCACCTCCCGGCTCATCGTGCTCCGACACCTGCAGTCAAGCACTTGGATTAAAAACCCTCACACAGACCCCCCAAGCCAGACAGCGGGTCCACAATTAACAGCCCTGCTCTCTGCTCTGCAGAGGTGCCGCTAAGGACTTACAGCATCACCTCCATTGCCTTTTTCACCCCTCTTTGCCAGGCCCCGGGCAGGGAGGAAGAGGGGCTCTGGGGAGCATTAGCAGTTTTTTTTTTTTTTTCCCTCAAGCTTCCGGGTTTTACCCCAGATGCGCTGTGTCTGCCCCTGCTGCTTCGCTCAGGGCCTAAGAAGTGCCAAGCAGGAGGAAGGTGCCGGGTGCCCAGGGGAGGACAGGGCAGGTCCTGGCCCGGCAGGGCTGCACCGTCGTCTATCCATCCAGAGCGGGAGCCACAGGGCTCATGTTACTGGGAACGCGGGATGGCGGGATGCTCCGGCACACAAAAGGCCATTGTGCGCCAGGAGCCGGAGCGGCGCGCGGCTTCCCGGCCCCCCGCGTGGGGCCTGCGAAATGAGGCCACGGGAAGGAACCGCGCGGCAAAACAGCAGCGACACCGGCAGCGAGAGCCGCTCCGGCTCTGGAAAAGTGGAGGGGAGAAGCAGGCAAAGGCCAAGGTGCAGCTCCCGGGGGTTCCCCTTGGCCCTGGATACTCCCCACAGGAGCCGGAGCTGCTTTCCAGTCCCAGCACTGGGACACCTGCCTTCCCACATCCTGGCAAAGCTGGATGCAAGCTGAGGCTTCTGCGCTCCAGGAAGCCTGACTGCCAAACCTTTAGTGGAATATAGCCCTTTACTAGGGCTATATGTGCGTACATCTATCATCTATATATCAAAATATGTACATGGGGTTATTGCGTATGTTTCAACCGCACACACCTCCAAGCCCAAGGTACTGAAAGCAGGGGACAAAAAGAGAGAAGCAACAGTTTGGATTGCAAGAGTGGGAAAACAACCTCAGCTTTTGCAATCACAGGGAAATGAAGCCTTTGGCTCCAGCCCTTGGAGCACGGAGTGCACCCAGCCGCCTCGCAGGGTTATTTTCCACCCAGCTCTGGATGCTCCAAGCTCGGAGCCAGCCGTATCCCTAGGGCCGCTTCCCGGCAGAGCTTTCCAAACAAGGCAGCACCTGATGGGCTTGGCTTGGTCCCGGTGGACCTGGCCACTGCTTTGCAGTCACAAAGGGCAGCCACGCTCCAGCTCCCTCTGCACCATCCCTTCCCTCCCTCCAACTTTATCCCACTTCGAGTAGCGCCTGTGGCACCACGGCAAGCGCAACAGCCACCCCTGAGCTGGCTCTTGTCAGGGGCTAGCAATAAACATCCCCACTTCCTTCTGCATCCAAAGGTTGGCACCTGCGGGAAGGAGCCATCCAGGTGGATGCAGGACCCAGCAGGTCCCCCAGGAAGGGAGGGTTCAGACAACGGCTTCCCAAGCACTGGAGGCCACTGCTAATTCCCTCTCAGCTGCCAATACATGGCCTGGCCTCCAACAAGTCTCACAGCCTCCAATCCGCGTTTCCCATCCGTGAAATCAGGATAATCACATGCGTGTCTGCAAGGCCCCAAACGGAGAGCAGGAATTGACTGCTGTGCACGAGGGGTTTGGAGATGACAAAACTCACATCACTTCCCATTAGCCTGGCGGGCTCCCGATTACCCGCGACCTGAGCTGGGATATTTTCTCCTTAAAGCTGCTCGCTGAATTTCCCCTTTCCCAGGGAAATCAGCAGCATTCAGGGCTCTGCATCCCCAAACCTCCGCGCAGAAGCCGTTTAATCAAATTACAGACAGGAGCTGTGTGGCCACATGGGGCTCCGGCAACGGGGCCGCAGGGAAACAAAAGAGGGAGCGAAACAAAGGCCCCGGCCGCGTCCGTCTGTCCATCCTGCCCCTTAGCACGGCCGCTATCAAAACCCAGGGTCCAACAACAACCCCAAGCACAAAAAGCAACCCCAAAGCCCCCATTTCTCCCCCCATTTTTTCCTTTCCAGACCCAATAAAGCACCGCAAGTTCCAGAGTGGTGGCTCCAGCTCTCGGTCCTGGTGCCCCTCTCCGGTTACAGCCGCTCACCATCCCCCGGGATAAACACCCAGGGATATTAATAACACCGAGCCTGGGCTGGAGGGGAAATCCAGCTGCTTGATGGCTTCGCAGGGTGGTCAGACTTCGCAAGCCAGTTTCAGGGGTGCAGCAGGGACAGCACCTCAGTCAGGAACAGCCCAGGGAGCCTGAAAAATATTTTTTAAAATAGCAGAAAGTATCAAAACTCTGTTTTTTCCCCCTCTTTTTTTTCCCCACCTCCTCACTTTTCCTCCCTCCTCTCCCCCTATTTATTATTATTTAT